AAAATAAATTATTTAATCTAGATACATATAATTGTTAAATAATGTTAATAATTTAATTGTTAAAATTTATTTGTATAAAGGAATAATAAAGCACGGTTGTTCAAATGAACATGATTTTTTTATAAACAGATGTCCCATCGCTTGTGGTATAGGCTTTTTGATGTCTAAATTTCAAGATAGGAACTCCAAATGTTGACCAGTTATTTTTTATATAATATAAATTCAATAAAAAGCTATACTTTTTCTGGTTTACATGAACAACTAAATGTTAAAACCTAATCTATATTTCTAATGTCTCTGATAATGGCGTAAGCCGAAACCGGTTAGACAATAAATTGAAAAAGGCCAGAAAAAGTATTGGTTTTTATTGAATTTATATTATTATTTTAAATTGAACATAGTTTTTTAATTTAATATTTTCAAATTGATGTCCTTCTTCGTTAATGCTCATTTCTAACTGGTATCTAAATGAATTTTGGAGATTATCTCCTTGGTGCCATCGATTAACATTCTAATAAGATTTTAGATTAATAGACATGTTTGATATGACTCGTGTTTTCAACATTTTGTTCTACAATTCAAGAGTCGACAAAGATATCGAGATGCGACTAAGCACCTGTCAGGTAAAAAATACTATTCCATTTCACTTTTTTTCAAAAATCACAAAAATATGTAATAGATGCAGATAATGCCCTTTAGCTCATTTGTTTTAAACCAAACTGTCTTACTAAAAATATCTCTTAAAAGAACATAAAATGTTTATCATAAAAACGTTTAACTGCATTTATTAAAATTACATAATGATTTATACACCAAATTGAAGCTAAAATTATCTAATTTTGAATGATTTATCTGTACACGTTGGATGTATGAAATTTTGAGATATGTTAAGAAAACACAAACTTTATTTAACCTATTTTCATGTAAAAGTGGATGAAATTCAAAAAGTCGTTCAGAATGTATTTATTAAAACGAAGTAGTGATTTGCAAAATATGAAATGAAGATATACAAAATAAGACAGCAAAGTTGGCCAGCAAATATCAAAAGGATTTTACAGTTGATTTATATGATCAGCTAATTACTTTCAAAAGTTGCTTGAAATCTGAAATTCAAAAAATCCACACAGTTAAAGATCTTGTAGAATTGCTTGTTATAAAATTCAATAGCCTCACCTCTAGCTTCACAGAGGTTATAACAGCATGTTTTATATTTTTGACGTTTCCAGTTACAACCGCAACTGCTGAAAGAAGCTTTTCTAAATTGAAGCTCATTGAAACATACCTAAGGACATCTATGGAACAAGATCGACTATCGGAATTATCAATACTGCCCATAGAAAAATAGGAACTTGAAAAATTGAAATCGTCATCAGCAATGGATGATATCATAAATGCTTTTGCCGAAATGAAGGCCAGAAAAGTAATTATTTAAAAACGTTGCATTTTTAGTTATTGGCACATATAGTTTATATCATACACATGCAATACAAATACACATACAATACTTATAAGTATTGTTGTTTTTGTTTAAAAATAAATTTTTGTTTTTGCGACTGTATATGTATTCTTTATTACCCCAAAAAGGGCCCCCGATATTTTATTGATACAGGGCCCCTTCATGGCTAGCTACGCCACTGCTGTTCACATAAGCCATGTACAAAGATTTGATGCACTGTAGATTAGTAAATGAATTTGATATTCTAATAATGAAACTTAAGCTCCTATTCGCTTTACTGATGAGTTCCTCTACATGATATAAAAGTAACAGTTTGGAGTCGAGCACTAAGCCAAGATCCTTTACGTTAGACAACACACATAAGGGTCCGGGTACAAGCTTATAGTTATGATTTACAGTGTATCTTTTTCTGGTGAACATTATTTGACTGCATTTACCATAGTTTAGAAAGAGATAATTATTAGTACAGTAGGTTTGCAAACGATTAAGGTCCATTTGAAGTTTTTGGCAATCAGAAGAAGATTCTACCTTCGAAAATATTTTGCAATCATCGGCATATAGCAAAAAATTACTATGGTGAAAGCACTCATAAAGAAGAATAGAAATAGGGCGGTAATTTGAAACACAATTTCTTCCTCCACTCTTATAGATGGGAAGTACATACGCTTTTTTCCACTCTAATGGAAATACTGATGGAGCCAATGAGCGACTAAAGATAATGAAGAGTGGTTTAGGCAGGCGGCACACTATCCCGAACGGAATGGAAATTTTGAATCTCCGCACATTAGCGCGGAATTCCGTGGGATATTGGCCGAAGCATTTGCGCATGCCCTCTAAGAGGACAGCAATACGCAGGATCTTACTTCAGAAGTCGCGAGCCTACACTAGATATAGGGTAGTATAAAAAGGCTTTATTTCAGTTTTAGTGTGTATTGTTGTTCTGCAATGGATATCTCAGATGAAAAGTTTGTGGCGTTGTGAGTAGCTTTAGAAGGAGAAAACGAGAGGACAAACAGGAAAAAGTGCAAATGGGTCCATGAAATCAACCTAAAGAGACAAGATTATGGGGAATTTCATCATCTATTTCCAGTACTTTTAGAAGACGAGGAAAAATTTTTTAAATACTTCCGAATGTCTAGTGAAAAATTCTACAAATTGTTGAAAATGTTAGACATTCAGAAACAAGATACGACATTTCGGAAAGCTATTAGCGCAGAAGAAAAGTTGGCGATGACTTTGAAGTAAGAATTGTTTTTATTGATTTTTTACAAATTTGTATAAATATTATCATTATCTACTGTTACGGTATGCTTAGAACTTGAATATGTAGCCTGGATTTCTTCTATTGAATCTCTCGAATCTTCGGCATTCACATTGGCACCAAAACTTGATGTTTTCATTGCCTTGAGTTCGAATTCACAGAGCAACTTTAAAATTCGATGTTTAACTTCCATTTGTAATTCAGGCAAATTTTGTCAAATGGTCCCCTGTAATGGAAAACGTATTTTCATTATTTTCGAGAAATCTCTGTAATACATCTGCTGTTTTTACTTCTGGTTTTGAAAGCCGTTTCGGTTGATGTCGTGGAAGATGTTGAGAGTGTCCCTGAAGTAGATGACAAAACTGCCGTTCCATTAACTTTTAACAATATTACATGATTTACCAATTTATTAAATACATTTACATTGTTTTCCTTGATTTTCCATTTATTTTATTTCTCGTCTGCTTGTGATATTAAATGTGGTTTACCCTGGGGGTAGTGTGTTGGGTCCGTTGCCCTTTTCGATTTTTATTAATGCCGTCACCCACCGTATTTCTTGTAATTATCATGTGTATGCTGATGACCTCCAAATTTACACTACGACAACTATTGATGATTTTCCGGAAGCAATTGCACGTCTTAATCATGACCTTTCCAATATTTTGGATTGGTCCAAACGTTATGGCCTTAAATTAAATACTGCTAAAACTCAAGCAATTGCGTTTGGCAGTCGACCTTTAATGGCAAAGCTTTAATAGCTTCAAAACAACAATCTTTGATCTCGAGAGATCTCAACACATAACCCCATACCGTAATTATTTGCAGATATTAAGCTGTCAGAACCGTAAAGCGTTTCGTATATTAACTATGTTATATACTGTTCTTCACAATCAAACCCCAAGGTATCTGTATTGTATATTTCAACGCTTGTCGTCGCATGGTTTACCCACTAGATCTCAGTTAGATTCTGTGCTTATGTTCCCGACCCATAGTACCGAGATTTACCATAAATCGTTTGCTGTGCAGGCAGTAACCCTTTGGAATAGTCTGCCTGCTGNTTATGAAAATAAACACCTTATACAATAAAATGACTTCGATCAATGTCGCCCCAAAACAATATCTGTTATATCTCAAAAACTACAACACCGATTTTAACGTGAGGCGATAGACAGGTTCCCTGCATTTTAAACGTATTTCCAGGGAACCCTTCCAGAAGACCTTCACGCTGACGAAATATTTATTCTTACCACATCAGGTACGGTGATCGCGCTCGTAATTGCCAAGGAAAATGCAGAAAGTTTTATATATACTTTTCAGAGAAAAATAATAATCAAAAAAGCGCTTAAATGTTTCAATAGAGGTGTAGTGTATTTTTGTATAAAAGCGTTTTGTAAACCTGTTTTAACTTAGTTCTGAGTTGACTTCGCTCGAATAAAGATGTTTGTTAATTATAACAAATTAAAGTCTTTAATTTGAATATACTCAAAAGTAACTCCAACAAAATACATCACAAGTGGCGACGAGGAAAATTAATTAATAAATTAAAAAGAAAAATCGAATATATTATTAATGAAAAATGATGGCGGAAATTATTGTGGGTCATCTTCGCGAATTCACGTTACGAAATTCCGATTGGTCAATTTTTCTACCGAGGCTGGAGAGCTATTTCACAGCAAATAATATTGGTGAAGATAAAGCAAAGAAGAAAAGAGCTATATTATTGAATATTTTGGATGAGGACGCCTACAAATTATTATTCGATCTGGTGAGTCCCGAAAAACCCGAAGATAAGACGTATTCCGACCTAGTAGCGGTTCTTAGCAGTCATTTTCAACCCCAAAAAAGTGCGTTTGCTGCGCGATATCAATTTTATTCGGCAAAAAAGGAAGTTGCTGAAACGGCGAAACAATGGGCTGCACGTTTACGCGGTTTGGCGGTGAGCTGCGAATTTGGAGCTGAGCTACAGGTTTGCCTACGGGACAAGTTTGTTTTTGGATTCGAAAAAGGGCCAATTATGGATCGATTAATGGAAGAAGAGATTACAAAAGATTTCAACGGCATGGTTTCACTCGCGGTGTCAAAAATGGCGGCCAACGAGGTTCGAGACGTCATCATTAAACAAGAAGAAATTCACCAGCTGAGGGAGAGACGTACAGATTTTGGAAGTAGGGATGCCCAAGCAAGTTCCAGTCAAACTAAAGGAAGACAGCGCTATCCCGTCTGTAGCGTTTGCGGTAAAAATAATCATTTGTATGAACGTTGTTATTTTAAAAACGCTACTTGTTCTAAATGTAAAAAAATAGGCCATTTGGCAGCTATGTGTAAAGCGACCGGAAGTTACAAGGTTTCTAATCAAAGGAATAGATATAAATCAAATAAAAAACATCATTTTATTAACGATAAATCAGATAACGATCAAGACGATCTTTGCATTTTTAATTTTGAATCTGAAATTCATAAACCACCATTTTACGTTAACGTTATTGTTGAACAGATATTAATAAAATTTCAAATTGATTCCGGTAGCGGAATAACATGTATATCTGAAAAACTATATAAAGAACATTTTTCTGGTATTAAATTGATAACATCAAATAAAACCTTTTATTTTTATAATGGCGCACAAGTAAAACCAGTAGGTGTTATGTCAGTATTAGTAGAATTTAAAAATAAAACCGCTAAATTAAATATCTATGTAATGAAAAATGGAGGTCCACCATTAGTTGGTAGAGATTTTCTTGCAAATTTCGATATTGGTTTTTCAAATATTAATTATATTAATTGCAAAGCCGAATTGAATAAATTGGTAAAAAAATATCAAAATGTTTTTAATTCAGGTTTAGGATTTTTTCGAAAAGGCTTAGCCTCTATTAAGTTAATTAACGAAAACATAACTCCTAAATTTATAAAAGCTAGACCGATTCCTTTTGCAATAAAAAATAAAGTTGAAGACGAATTAAAGCGATTATTGGATCTTGGTGTAATAGAACCTGTTGACTACAGTAGATGGGCGACTCCAATAGTTCCCGTTATGAAAAAAAATGGCGAAATTCGTATTTGCGGTGATTTTAAAATTACTGCCAATCCCGTAATCGAAATTGATAAACATCCATTACCTCGAATAGAGGAATTATTTAATTGTTTACAAGGTGGAGTTGAATTTACAAAATTAGATTTGTCCCAAGCTTACCAGCAAATTGGAGTAGATAAAGGAAGTCAGGAGCTTCTAACTATATCAACTCATATTGGTCTTTTTAGATACAAACGTTTAACTTTTGGTATTTCCTGCGCACCAGCAAAGTTTCAAAAGATTATGGACTCCTTGTTAACACATGTGCCATCAGTAGCAGTATTTCAAGACGACATTTTAATAACTGGTAAAAATGTGCAAGATCACTTAAATAATTTGAACAAAGTTTTAAATATTTTGGATGATGCTGGTTTGAAAGTTAATTTCAATAAATGTAAATTCTTTCAAAAAGAAGTTGAATATTTGGGTTATAGAATTAATGCGAATGGTTTACATCCATCGATTGATAAAATAAAAGTTCTGGATAAAATTCCTGCACCACAAAATGTATCCGAGTTAAAATCATTTTTAGGTGGAGTTAATTATTACGGTAGATTTATTAAAAATATGTCAACTGTATTAAACCCATTGTATAATTTATTAAAGAAAAATGTAAAATTTCATTGGGACGAAGATTGTGATAAGGCATTTAGTCATGTTAAAGAAATTTTGAAGTCAACAGAAGTATTGGTTCATTTTAATCCAGACCTAGAGCTTAAATTAACAGTAGATGCTTCATCAGTAGGCATTGGTGCTGTTTTGAGCCACAGATTCCCATCAGGTGTAGAGAAACCTATTGCGTTCGCTAGCAGAACTTTAACTGATGCAGAAAAAAATTACTCACAGATTGAAAGAGAAGGGTTAGCAATTATTTACGGCGTAACGAAATTTAATCAGTACCTGTACGGGTATAAGTTTACACTAGTCACCGATCACAAGCCACTTTTAATAATCTTCGGCGAAAATAAAGCTATTCCACAGCTTTCCGCTAATAGATTAAGGCGTTGGGCGCTTATTTTAGCAGCTTACAATTATAAAATTGAGTATGTCAAATCAAATTTAAATTGTGCAGATTGGTTATCTAGGTTACCTGTCAGTGAAGACGATTTTGGTAAAACAGACGTTGAATTTGATTATAGTTTTTTTATTAATAATTCCAACCATTTTAATATCAATTTTGGTCTTATTAGAAATAGGACAATGAACGATAAAATCTTACAGAGAGTTAAACAATTTATACAAAAAGGTTGGCCCAAAAAGATAAATGATTTAGAATTAAAGCCTTATTTTTCTAAAAGATTTGAATTTTTTGTTGAGGATGATTGCGTTATGTGGAATCATAGAATAGTGATTCCAGCAGAGCTTCAAAAAGAGGTGCTTTCTCAATTGCATTCAACACATTTAGGTGTAGTCAAGATGAAAAGTTTAGCGCGAGGTTATTTTTGGTTTCCAAATATAGATGTTGAAATAGAATTAGTTAGCAAAAACTGCGAAGCTTGTTGTTGTCACAGCAATAACCCGCCTAAAACAACAATTTCTCCATGGCCAAACCCTAGTGGTCCCTGGCAAAGATTGCATGTAGATTACTTAGAATTTAATAAAAAGTATTATTTGGTAGTTGTTGACGCTTACACTAAATGGTTAGAAATTTTTCCAATGTCAAATATCGCTTCGACTTTAACAATCAATGTTTTGAGATCGTTATTTTCACGATTTGGATTGCCCTTAACTTTGGTCTCGGATAATGGCAGATCATTAGTATCTGATGAATTTGAAATGTTTTTAAAGAAAAATAATATAAAACACCTTACTAGTCCACCCTATCACCCATCGTCTAATGGTGCTGCTGAAAATGTAGTAAAAACAGTTAAAAATGTATTAAAAAAATCACTTTTAAATAAAACTGATGGTGATTTAAACTGCCTTTTGAGTCGGTTTCTATTTGATTACCGTAATACTCCGCATTGTACTACTGGAGTTAGTCCAGCAATTTTAATGTTTGGTCGTTCGTTAAGAACAAGATTTTCTTCTTTTTTACCTTTTACCAATAATGAAAACGAGTTTTGTAATAAAGATATTAATGATGTAGCTGAAAAGGTAAAAAGAGTCAAAGAAAAACAAGTAAAATATAGTAAGGGAAAGAGTTATACAAAGTTTGAAATCGATGAAATTGTATTAGTTAAGAATTACGCAATTGTAAATAAGCCAGTTTTTATTAAAGGAAAGATCGTTAAAGTGATAGGAAATCGTACGTATCTAGTTGAAATTCCAGAATTGCAGAAGACGTGGAAAAGACATCCAAATCAAATAAGAAAATTTACTTTTGTTGAATCACGTATTCCTTTTGATAGTTCTGGAAGTTCAAATAATAATAATCAGTCTAAAGATCCTAGTAGCGAAAATTCATGCAACAACGAAAGCGCAGAAAGTTTAGTTATTAACCGTCCGAAGCGCATGATCAAACCCGTGGATAGATTATGTTATGAGTAATAGTTTATGTTTATTTTATTTTTTTTAGGGGAAGATAATGTAGTGTATTTTTGTATAAAAGCGTTTTGTAAACCTGTTTTAACTTAGTTCTGAGTTGACTTCGCTCGAATAAAGATGTTTGTTAATTATAACAAGTTAAAGTCTTTAATTTGAATATACTCAAAAGTAACTCCAACAAAATACATCACAAGAGGGAAAACCAATGAGTTGAGAACTCAAGATTGTTTTTTTATGATAATATAAACAACTTGAACTTTTTCTCAATGATTCAGGAGCAAAAACTTCAGTATTACCTGTAAAATTGTTCCCTTTCAACAAACAAACTTACACTTTTGTTGTATCAGCAGCAAATGGATCCGCTATTAAAACCTACGGAAAGAATTTATTAATAGTCTCTCTTTCCAATTAACCTCTTCCTCACATTTTTCTACCCCCATCAACCATTCGACCACCCATAAAATAGTTACTAATTCCTATCTTCCATTCAATCGTCCTAGAAGACTAGACTTCAATAAACTTACTATAGCCAAAAAGGTATTTGAAACAATAGTAGCATTAGCTATTCTGATTACGAATTTAGAGAAAAGGCTTGTGTTGATGTGCTCAAAAATAATAATTTTTTACGTGGTGCAATTGTCATGGTTCGGCGATCTTTTTTAAAACTTTGTAAGTTTTATTTTATTATTTTTTATTTAATGTTGTAAACAAAAGAATTTAAAATGTAATTTGATTCGATTATGTATTTACATTTTTATATTGTTTTTTGTAGATTCAAACTGATGATGGCCTGAATATGGCCGAAAACCGGTTTTTTGAGTAAATAAAATTAAAATTATTTAGTGAGAAAGAAGTTTCTATTACCTTCATCTATTTCTTAATTATAGTCCTCGCAATATGGATATACAATATCATGTTTTATTATTCAACTCGGCCGGAGGTTCCTTTCTTACAAATCAGGTGTGAGGTTCGACAATGTTCGAAAAGAGGGGTTAGGTTACGTTAAGAAGATACATCTTCGAAAAAGTAAAGAAAACGAAGATGTTGAAAGAATATTCTTCCAATAATTTCCAAGAAAGTCTACAAGTAAATTACGAAAAAGGTACAATACTATGAACTTACTGGAACAAAACTCGACTATGTTAAAATGATTGTTGAATGAAAAGTCAAAGAATGAGTACTTTTATTACAATATACCATTCCACCCGATTTCCAACCCTTATAACTAGCCCCAGGGACTTTATTAGCACGTATAAAAAATACGTAAACCTTATTTTGGCCCATGCTATCCCTGTACCAAATTGCAACAAAATCGGTGAAGGAAAGTTTTGACACTTCTCTTGTGAATGTTGCACTGCGACGCTGTGTTGGTCGTCGTAGGAAGCCGTCTCAAATGTTTTCGCATAATGACAACAATTTTGTTGGTGCCAATCGCGAACTTCAAGAGTAAGGAACGTTCCTCCAAAGCTGTTCCAATCAATTAACAGGCGTCATCGAGAATGAGTCGACCAACAGGTTATTCATCTCCCTAATTCGCTTCATTTCGGTGGTTTATGCGAGGCGGGCGTTAAATCGACAAAATTTCATTTAAAACGCTTCGCTGGAAAGACAAGCGTTATAATTAAGAGTGTTTGTAAGAGCGTAGTTTTGTAATTTAGTAATAAACAATACGTTACAATATAAAACCAAAATTGTTATTCGTAATAAAGAAGTTGATACAACTAGCGCTATAACATACTGTTATACAATTCAACAACCTTAGCACCTGAAAAAAGAACAAAATCGCAATATACCACATAACAAACATGCCGCTTCACAAATTAAGCACTAGTTGAATCGAATACAAGAGCACAGAAAAACACAAAACTTTTTAACACAGTATACACAGAAATGTTCAACATCATCAAGAATTCAACATTTCACAATCAAAATTCGTTGTGGCTTACTTCAGATATACAATTTTCTGGTAATATCGATATAAAAAACAGCATCAGCAGAGAAAGAAAGTTATCGGGGAAAGCCACTAGTTTTCTTCTTAAGTTCCATTGTAACAAACCGCCCTGTATATTAAATTGCGTTTTGTATAATTATCTTGCTTAAGTCAGCTTTATCGCGTGAGGCGTTGATGCGCCACCGAGTTCAACTCGGTGAGTCGAGTACCAACTACCAAGGTAGATAGAAACTACAGTCTTGCCCTTGAGTTCGCTCCATTTCATTTTATTTTTAATTTAAATTCTCAATACTAAATTCGGAAAGGCTTCTAAATAGGCTGGTGGTTTGTGCTGGGTAATTTGCTAGAGAAATCGAATCCTCAGATTGAAATTGTGCCTTGAAGCCAGTTCCTGAAGCGTCCGAATCCTGGTGGAAGAGCGTCGTCGTGGCGTAGAATAAGTAAGCATAATTAATTACTATTGTTCTTGAAACTCATAATCATCGCTAGTATTTGTATCCATAGTTAACGTTCCGTTATCCAAAATTTGTTCAATTAGTTTTCGTTTTTCTTCTTTAATATTTTAACTTAATTTTTGTTGGTTAATTTATTTTTCTATTTTTTTTTATATATTTTAATTTCCTTAATTTAATATATTAATATTTTGTTTATATAAATTCTTGTTCGTATTATTTCAATTTCAACACAAGGGCTACGATCCTCCCTCCTTTTACTCATTAACTTCTTAAACCGTTCGGCCAAGTACGTAACTTGCCTGGTGGCAGCATCTTAAAAATCTTCTATAATTTTTTCTCTTTTTCTGCAAATACACGCTACCGTACTTCTAACTTTTCCCGTCCGCATAACGTTGGTGGCGGGTGCCCCTTTCTTCCTCTAATATTACATTGGTGGCGGTGGTGTTCTTCCCCATCTAGATGGAAGAATGTACCAAAAGAAAAAAAACGGAACAGCTACGGTCTGATTTTGCTATTGAAGAACTTACTTATGCTGCATAAATATAATTTCGGTCGGAATGTAAATTAGATGCAGCCGATGTAATGAAACAAATAGTTTTTTCCACCCCAACTCGCGCATCAATATGTAAAGGTGGGTACATACTCGCGCAACTGTTTCGCGAGGCAAGACTCGCATAATGTACACGTACTCTTCAACCCGCAACGTTTCGCGCGCGGCAGTCTCGCAGTGAGCCAGATGGTAGTCGGTTTTTGGGCGCGAATCAAAGTGTTTCGCAGTACTTGTTTCACGACGTGTAAACACTCTTGTGCTAAGGTGAGTTTAANTTTTCATGAGAGTAACTAAAACTCGTCCAAAAATGAGTACCATAAAAATACCATAAATTAATTCTTTTTAAGAATCAATAAACAAATTCTAAATGAGTGTAGTTGTCTTATTAGTTCCTATTTTTATTAGTTCTAAGACCTTAGCTCACGATTACACCGATGAGCTTTAACACTGATGGAGTACGACTTCGAGATTATACACAGACCAGGCAGAAAGCACGGAAACGTAGATGCACTTAGCCGAAATAGTATAGTTTCCTTACTCCGGAAGAATGAGAAGAACACCTCATTAATTCATTCATTAATGAAGTAGAAGGAGATTTGTTTGATGCGCCCCAAGGGTGGGTTAGCTCACTGCGTGTCAGCTGACTTTGCAATGGATGCTGGTATCGCGAAAGAATTTAGACACCGATTTGGTTCCGTCGAAAAATTAAAATCAGAAAAGAAAGGAGTTGGTGAAGTAGTCTCGCAGTTTGCGGAGAATAAAAAGATATATCATTTGATCACCAAAGATGAATACTGTCATAAACCAACTTATCATATGTTGAGACAGTGTCTGGAAGCCTTACGGGATGACATATTTGACAATACCTAGAATACGGTATGGGCTCGATAAGCTAAAATGGAATCTAGTTAAAGAAGAATTGAAAGAACGTTTTGAGGGAACGAATATCACCATAATGGTGTATAATAAATTACCTTTTGTTAAACATAAAACCCTATGTGAAATACAAGAAAATGTAACAACGCCGATTTGGGATAAAACTGCTATTTTAAAGGAACAGGATAAAGACGAGTTTTGTTTACAAATACGAGATTCACTTTCAACAGACAAAGAATTCAGGGATAGTTACTTTGTGGATGATGATAACCTCTTATTCAAAATTAATGGATTAGTAAAAGAATTACTACTTTTACAAAAATCATTTGTCCAGAAGGCCCTTCATGATTACCACGATTTACCATTTGTAGGTCATGGCGGTCAGGCAAAAACATTAACCGTACTTAAGGATAGAGTATTTTGGCCGTCTATGATACGTGATATTAAAAATTACCGTTTGAATTGTGAGTTGTGCAATAGATGCAAAACTTCTTCCCATATGTCTAGGGCACCTTTGCAAAAATTTGAAACTGTTCAGAAACCATTTGAAAGAAGTTCAATGGACATAGTTGGTCCGTTAATAACAAGTTATAAAGGAAACAAGTACATCCTTACATTTCAGGATTATTTCACCAAGTATTTGGAGGCAGTAGCCTTACCTGATGAGAAAGCTGATACCGTGGCTCGAGCTTTTGTGACGCTGATAGTAAGTCGTCACGGTACACCTCTTTACTTACTCACAGATCAAGGAACAAATTTCGTGTCGTCACTCATGAAAGAAACGTGTAAGCTATTGAACGTTGATAAAATACAAACCACGCCCTACCATCCCGACTGCAAAGGTCTTATCGAAAGAAATCATCGGGTAATTAAGAATATACTACCTCATTATGTCAAAAAGAACCAAAGAACTTGGGATAAATGGTTGCCCTACATCCTTTTAGCGTATAGATCAACAGTGCATAGCAGTACGGGTTATACCCCTCACTTCTTGTTGTACGGCAGGGAAATGGAATTTCCTATGGATGTTTTCCTTCGACCATCCAAATGTAAATACGATTATAACGAGAACTATGTGACGGAATTGGTAGCGCGGATGAACCATGTATATGAAATAGTTTTCGAAAGGTTGCATCTTGCCGCTCTAAAGGTGGGTTTAGACTAAGCGAAACATACTCGCGCAACTGTTTCGCGAGGCAAGAGTCGCATAGTGTACACGTACTCTTCAACCCGCAACGTTTCGCGCGCGGCAGTCTCGCAGTGAGCCAGATGGTAGTCGGTTTTTGGACGCGAATCAAAGTGTTTCGCAGTACTTGTTTCACGACGTGTAAACACTCTTGTGCTAAGGTGAGTTTAATTTAACAGAATAAACCAATTCCGTTTTGGCTTTTGTCGAAATCGGATGAAAGGTTATGATGGTGTTTTCTTTAAATATCGTGTGTACTTTAAATTTGTCTTGTAAATTTTAGGAAATCACGTGTTTTTTATAACGCTTTTAAATTCCAATTGAACGTGAACCAAGAGCAATGAACGAAGAGCAAGAGGAAAGCATCCGGTTAATAGAAATGTATAAAAATTATCCATTTTTATGGGACCCAAAGAACAAGGCACACCATAATCGAGCAAAGAGGGAGGACGCATGGAAGGAAATGAGTCACAGCCTTCAGAAGCCCGTTACAGCCCTCAAATCAAAAATAAAGTCTTTGATGGGATCTTACAGAAGTGAAAAGTCAAGGGAAAACAAAAGTAGAATTACTGGATCAGGTATTTTTTTATTTCACACAACGTGTATTATTTATAAGGTTTTTATTACGAATATCAAATCTTGTTTGTAGGTAGTGAAGATGTGTATGAATCAAAATGGTTTGCATACAAATATTTACAATTTTTAAAGGACAAAGATAAGCCAGTTGCAACATTGGACACCGTTAGAAGTGATGTAAGTAATTATTTAATTAACATCTGTTCTGCCATGGGAAGGGGCAATTTAAAATAAAGTAATTTGCTAAATGGCGACGAATATTTTTGGCTTGTTCAGATGTTCTTCGTGGAATATTGCGAACAGGCAAGAATGATGTCGTTGGTTGATCAGATCTCCATGTTCCATCAATTATTTCTCCAGTCCTGTCAGTGTCGATCATACCGGGTGGCGGATAAATTTCACGTGAAGAACGTTTGCGTAAAAAGTTGTGGAGGTATACAGTAGTTAATGTTACTTTTGATGCTGTCTCCGGTTGTAGTAGCATTGGTTTTCTTAATACACGAAATACGGCACTCAATATACCGAAAGCATTCTCTACTACTCGGCGAGCTCTAGAATGACGGTAATTAAATATTCGTTCAGGTGTTCCAATACCTGGATCTCCATCAAATGGTTTCATTGTGTAGTTATTCAAAGTAAATGCCTTGTCTCCTAATATCATATAAGGCACTTCCACGCAATATGGTATTTGCAAGGCTTTTGAGTTGGGAATATTCAAACTTCGGTTCTCTAATTTCTGGTAAAGTGTTGTATGTTTAAATACGCCACCATCGGATATTCGCCCTTGGCATCCTACATCCACGTATATGAAATTATAGTTTGCATCTACTAACGCAAACAATACGACACTAAAAAAATGTTTGTAGTTGTAGTATTCGGTGCCTGTATGGATTGGCGCTTGTAACATGATGTGCTTTCCATCAATTGCTCCAATTGCGTGAGGAAAGGACCATTTCGTTTCGAATTCATTGGCGATTTGAAGCCACTCTTCAGTAGTAGATGGCATCTATACAAAAAGAAATTAGAAAAGAATAAAGTTAACAGCAGTTGTATTGCTACAATATTTATAATAGGTTGTCAGGCAAATCGTGCCAACTTTCCAGTTTTAAATATAAAAAAAATGATACGACTTATCTGACAAGCTAATACTTTACCAAATAGGCGTTAAAATAGATAGTACAAACCTTAATAGAAATCTAAGTGGTTTGAAAATTCCTCTTTCTTTATAATCTAAACAAACAATTTTCATTTTAGAAATCCCAAGATGTTAGTACTGCATCACAACTGGAGGTGGAAAGGCTAAGCACTACGTCACAATTAGAAATTGAAAGGGTGACTGATGAGTCACAATTTGAGACAGAAAGGAGGACTACTGAGTTTCAATTAGAGACGGAAAGGAGGAGTACGTCAAAGGATAGGTTCCGTACTTCAACTGTACAAGAAGGTCGAAAACGGAAAAAACAAGAGATTTCCGACTCCGATAAAATGATGAGTCAAGCATTACAAATTTTGGAATCATCTACTACTGCATCGAATGATCCATACTTCACGTATGCTTTACACTTATCTAATGAGCTGAAGAAGTATGATACTCAAACGCTTGCTAACGTGAAAATAGCTATTGCTAACATTTTGTACGAAGCTGATATGGGAAGAATGTCTACGTGTTCATATGGCAGTACTCCATATTTGTAGTAGTACAGATTAGTGTTTGTAGTATATTATTGTTTCTATAACTTTTTTTTTATATTTCTAAACTTGAATAAACATTTGTTTTCATTACGATTTAAGTNAACGTCTGGAGTTCTTCAAAAACGCCTTTCAAGACAATCCAGCCAACACTTCGGAAACTCAGCTGGATGTGAATGACACACTAGTGTTTTCTGATAATGAAGAAGATACTGACTTACGAATTTAAATTTGTACCTAAGAAACTAATTTTGTACTTTTTTTCAATAAAATCAGCTTCTTTAAAATCTCTTTTATCGCAATTCCAAATTTTATTAGTGCAGATACTGCTAGTCTTTTTACAGAAACGCCAAATCCAGAACTTTGCAGTTCACGAAGCAGAGATTTTCAAGCCTTAGATGCAAAATAAGACATTCTCATTTTTTTTATCAAAATAACTTTTTTACTATAAGCCTGACTTGCGCTTTAAAGCACATACAGACGTGTCAATGTATTATCTACTTTTGGTTAAAATACCAAGTCGATTGAGCGACTTAAACGACGATGAGAGGTTTTTGCGCTTTACTCAAAACTATTCGAATGTCAAGAAATGTCTGGTTTTGCATTTATACGCTTCAATTATAAGAAGACGTTCTCTGTTGTTTTGTTGGCACTTGTTGATGCAAACTACAACTTCATAGCCGTTGATGTGAGTGCATACGGAAAAAATAGCAACGGGGGGATTTTTGCAAATTCCAGTCTAGGAAAAGCACTTCAACAAAACAGTTTGTCAATTCCACAAAATGCTGCTTTGCCAAATACAGCAACTGAAGCTCCATTTGTAATTGTAGGGGACGAGGCCTCTCCCCTGAAAACTTATTTAATGCGACCATATCCCGGAAACGATTTAGATGGTCTTAAACGCATTTTCAAATATCGTTTATGTCGTGCCAGAAGGATTGTTGAAAACGCATTTGGCATTTTGACACAAAAATTCCGAATTTATAACAGACGAATTCAGGCTAAAGCAGAAAATGTTGATTACGTAATACTTACAACATGTATACTACATAATTTCATTAAAAAAATTGATACGAACACCTACAAACATACTACAGAAACAAATAGAACATATAAATATAAAACCTGGCATAAATCCCGCAGTTTTTGATTGCTTACAATATAAAATACAAAATTTAAAGGAGGATCAAAGGCGTTGTATTCTATGTGTTGATGAAATGGCAATTAAAGGTAATATAATTCATTAATAATAATTCATTATATAAATCATTAACAATCAAAGGTCATCTGTATTATGATATTGGCGTGGATGAAATTATTGGTTTTGAAGATGATGGTGACAAAAAAATCATTTGCAGCTTTAAATGCCACTGTAATCATGGCAAGAGGGATAACTGACAATTGGAAGCAACCGCTAATGTATTTCTGGAGTAAAAGCAATTATCCCGGCGACAAATTAAAGGACATTCTTATTAACTGCAAAAAAAAACTTGATGAAATAACAATTACTCCTTTAATTTCTGACATGAGAAGCAACAACATGGTAATGTCACAACAGCTGGGTGTGTCTGAAGAAACTCAATTTTTTTTGGTTAACAAAAAAGAATATTTTTTATGTTTTATGCTCCTCACCTAATAAAATCTGTGAGGAATAATTTATTAAAGTATAATTTTCAATTTCGCGACAAAACGGCGTCATGGGACGACATACAAAAATTTTATGATTCTGATAAAAAATACCAAACTAGGGCAGCTCCAAAGCTATCTGACTTACATATGGAACCAATTGCGTTCACTAAAATGAAGGTGAAATAGGCTACACAGCTTCTTAGTGAAGCAGTGGCAATCGGTATGAATGTGTATATTCGATTTGGACAACTCCCTACCTCTGCGCATGGCACAACCGAATTCATAGAAAAAATGGACAAATTAATTGATTTATTTAATTCAAATTATGATAATGATAAAAAATATAGACGGCCATTTATTGGCACAGACTACCAAATCAATCACTTAAAGGACTCTCTCACATTATTTAGTGAATTAAAAGCGATTAATAAAGACGGAAGAGACTGCACAAATCTAATAAAATGTTTTAAAGGCTGGAGGGTAAATATAACATATTACTTACATATAATATACAGAGGGTGCCCATTAAGGTATACGAGATACTTTGTATATGAATTTAATGATTTATGTTGTGTAAAAATTTGTGAATTATTATTAACTAAAATTTAGAAAAAGTTCGGTTAATATTACTCATTAATTCATATAGGAAGTATCTTAGATACCTCATTGGCCACTCAGAATAATATAATTTATTCATTTATTATAATCTTAATAATCATATAAATTATACAATAAAATTATAATATTTGCTTTCAGATTACGATATCCGCGCTCTTATTAATGTGGGAGGAACTGAAAATCCCGCAGCTATATACTAGGAGGTTCAATCAGGACTGCCTAGAAAACTTTTTCGGTGCCATGAGGCAACATGGCAATTGCATAAATCCAACACCAATCCAATTTAAAAGGTCTTTCAGAAAATTACTCTGCATCGACATTATGCATTCTGGCACCGAAAATTGTGAGGCAGATGGAGACCAGGTTTTTTTGGCAGTCTCCGACTTGCCTAAGCAAGTGAATCAACATCAATTGTTGTTGCAAACAACAGATAAAATAAGTATTAAGGGAATTGAATATCAATCCATGGAGATTATGGAAAATACCCTTACTTATGTTAGCGGGTATTTATTGAAGAAAACGTTAAATATCCACAATTGCAATAATTGCATAGAACATTTTACAACTAAGGACCTGAACGATGGTAATCTATTTTCTTATATGAGAGGTACCGACTCGGCAACACCCGATAATATTTTTGGCAATGTGGTTGTGCCACAACCACATTTTGTTTCATACATTTCTAAATTAGAAGAAACATTTAAAAATAATTTTGAAGTTATATCTACAAAACCAAACATTTTATTCGAATTAAAAAAAATATATTTTAGCATTAATCTTCTGCATCCACGTATTGCACACTAAGTTTTTAAACAAGAATTTAAAAAATAAGTTAAATAAACAAAAAAATATTATTTGGAAACACGATTGAGATGTTATTGTTTAAAATTTTTATTATTATTGTTTAATATTGCCTGTAGAAATTTGTGATGCAAATTGGAGTGTGAAGGTTCCGTTAAACATTAAATTGTTTGTAACTAATAACTTTTTTTTTTATTTTAAATTTTTTATTTGACCATTTTTATGTTAAGTAATTATTAATTCCAATATTGTGCGCTGATAAAACCTCGTTTTCCTCCAAAATTTACAGAAATACAATATCAAATAAATCTCATATCAAATAAAATTAACTTATCTTCACTGGCGTACAACAAAAATATAACAATACAAGTTAAATTCCCAAAAAATAAAATTATATTATGTTGGTATATGTATAATAAGTAATAAATTACTATTGTAATGAAATGTCGAAAAAGAGAAGTAAATTTTTTTTTGTTTTTCCGGTTTATATGTAATTCAGTATAATTTTTGTTTTCTATTTAGTAATTCAGTGATGCACCGCTAAGGGTTTGTCCCATTTTTGCATCTACTTATATGTATTATGTAGAAATAAATAAATTGTACTATTTTAAATTATTGTATTAAATAATTTTTATATTAAATAGTTGTATTAAAAAAAAAAACAGTTTTTTTATTTAATAATCCTGATATCAAAATAATCACTAATTTATTCTTCTTCATCAAAAAACCGTACATATCATTTTATTTGGGCTCCAAAGTAGATATTTATAATGTTACAATATAGAAAAATTGTATAGAAGTGGTCACTCAGCCTACAATCTGTATCGAATTTAATTCAAATTTAGCGGTTAGGCATGAACCCGTTTTCAAGATGGCGGAACTTAAACCGAGATCATTCTAATTCACAAACTCGTAAACAAAAGAAAGGGGTGGAGCTNCGCTTGCCGTCCCGAAAGGCCGCCTTAGCTATCTTATCTACGCGCTCATTATGGACAAAACCAGCGTGAGCCTTCACCCATAAAAGTTTTACCACATGGCCTTGATCATTCAACCTAGTGAGATTATTCAAAATTTCCACTATAACAGGGTGGTATTTCGAGAAGTGTTTCCTGTGTTTTATAGATAGTAGAACACTTTTTGAATCGGTGAATATACTAACTCTACTATTTGGGCGTATATTTCTATTGACATACTTTAAGGCCTCCAAAATTGCTGTTGCTTCGGCCGCAAAAATACTAGTCGATGGATTAAGTTTAAAACTAGTATGGTAATTAATAGTAGGTATCAAAAAGGCACAACCAACACCACTACTTGCAGATTTGGAAGCATCAGTATAAACAACCAAACTATCCTCTATCAACTGCAGGGTCTCAACAAACAATTCTTTATTTTCCCAAACATCATTCCTATATGGAGGATTAATCACTTGATGCGAGCCAAAGTACTCAAAAAAGGTCGTACTTGGAAAACCGCACATTTCAAAACAGAAAGTAAGCGAGGGGAGAGAAACCTGAACGCAGCGACAAGGGGGGGAGTAGGCCGGTTTTTCCAGAACCTACCCGTGACCTCCACTGCTAAGTTAGCGACCTTAGCCTAAAACGTTTTATGGTTCGAAGCTGACAGTTTAACCATCTGCTTCGTCGACAAGAAATTGCGTCTGAAGTTAAGTGGGGGTTCTATAGCTTCAACGTTAAGCGTTTCAATAGGAGTAGACTTCATTGCGCCTAAACAAATCCGAAGCGCTTTGCTCTGAATGACCCGAATGCGCTCAAGCTGATTTACTCTCGCGCTACCGTATACAGTGCATCCAAAGTCCAAATGCGACCTAATGCAACTTTTATAGAAATTATGTGCCGTCTGAAAATCTGCGCCCCACTTTATTTTCACAAAAATACGGAATATGTTTATAGTTTTCTCACATTTCCCGATAATGTAATCAATATGTCTCCGCCATGTTAATTTGTTATCTATCATAATCCCTAAATATCTTATACAATTCTCAATGGGAAAGATGATATCATCTAGCCTTATGT